TTTATTTTAATATTTTATAAATATTTAAAACTAAAAAAAATAAAAAGATAAAAATGTTAAGTTATTTTTAAAATGACATTACTAATGAGAGATTTAGATAATAAACACCAAATATGAAAAAGATTCTAAGTCACAGAGAGCACAAACGCGAAACAGTCTGGTACAGAAACGCTTCATGACCAGATTTTTATAAAAAAAAAATTAGGTGATGAATGAGCTAGAAATTGCTCTTTTATAGGCCTGTTTTATGAGGGGGAGAATTAGTTTAATTTGCACAATGCTTCTCATTGGCTAGGTAATTAATTTAGAGAGATCTATGCGCAATCTATTGTTCTACTAATTTGCGTTAATATTTCATACATACATTGGTGTTTTTATATCTATCTACTCTCATTATAATGCGGTTTATTAAAAAAGATCATTATTATAAAAATATAAACAAAATAATGTTATAAGTGCTAAATATCTATTACACCAGTTTAGAAGAGTTTAAAAATCAATTTTTCAAGATTCCAATTAATTTAATCATTATTGATTTTAAACATTTTTATTGCCTTCTTCTTTGTTAATNAAATATAATTTGATTAATACAATATTAATGTATAGTGCAATAATGAAATATAAAAAAAAATGAAATAAATATATTAAATGGTCCTATATATGCTATATAAATCTATAAATATAGTGATTTAGTTATAATGATATAAAATATAATGTTGAGTAAAAAAAAAATATAATGTTTATAAAAGTATAATAATAATAAATGTGCGTTGAAAATATTTTAATAAACATGTAATTAAAATGTTATAAAATAAACTAAAGTTAGTGCTTAATATAAAATATATAAAAGTGTATAAATGTATAAAAACTAATTTGATAATAATAATAATAATGTGATTAAAATGTTATAAATTAAAATAGAATTAGTGATTTATATAAAATGTATAAAAGCATATAAATGTATAAAATTTAATGTAATAATTTGTCAATAAAAATGATATAATATTTGATATACTAATGCCTATCCTTTTAAAAATAGAAAGATATATCAATAAAAATAAACTATTTTATTTAATTGAATTTAAAAATATAATAAATACACAAAATATATAGAAATTCTTACATAAAAATTACTTTTGATTATATATATATTTTTTTTATTTTTATCAATTTTGAGATTATGGTTTTATTTTGATTGATTTGGTTCTAAAATGTTCATTTGGCAATTAATGTTAGTACTGCAACTAGGAACATATATTTATTGCTGTCGTTTTTGATCTTGTTTTTTGTTTGTTGTTTTTCTTCAATTTCTTCAATTTCTTTTTAAGATATTTTCTTCTTTTGGTCTTTTCAGTGTTTTTGTTGCGTTTAGGATTTGTATATTCATATTCGAAATTAATAGTAGTTGATATATTGTATTTTGAATTGTTTTCTGTTTTTGTTGATGATATTATAGCTACTGGTCTACTCTCAAATATGAGTAATCCTGTTCTTATTTCTTGTTGTTGACATACTCTTAAGTATGATATTGTATTGAAGTCAATAGTAGCTGGAAAACCTCGTGTAATTTTTTCTGTGATAGCTAAAATTACTGGGCCAGAATCATAATAATTTACACAATTATAATTTTTTCTATATATTTTCCATTGTGGATTTTGTTGTGTCCATTCTTTAACGAATTTTTTTATTGAAAAGTTAAATTGTCTTTGATATTTATTAGATGTATCATAATTAATGATTTTATTATATTTTAAATTAACTATTGTTAATAACCAGTAATCATTTAAATGAAATGGAAATAATAATAATTTAAGTGTTGCTAAATTATTTGTATTTGTATTGTTTGATGTTCTGGAATTAATATTTTTAAATAAAAATACTGAGTCAAATATTTTAAATTCAGTAGTTGATCTTGATTGTAGCATTTTCATATTGTAATAGATATTTAGCACTTATAATTTTATTTTATTTATATTTTTATAATAATGATCTTTTTTAATAAACCGCATTATAATGAGAGATGATAGATATAAAAACACCAATACATATATGAAATATTAACACAAATTAGTAGAACAATAGATTGCGCATATATCTCTCTAAATTAATTACCTAGCCAATGAGAAGCATTGTGCAAATTAAACTAATTCTCCCCCTCATAAAACAGGCCTATAAAAGAGCAATTTCTAGCTCATTCGCCACCTTATTTTTTTATAAAAATCTGGTCATGAAGCGTTTCTGTACCAGACTGTTTCGCGTTTGTGCTCTCTATGACTTAGAATCTTTTTCATACTTGGTGTTTATTATCTAAATCTCTCATTAGTAATGTCATTTAAAAAAAAAAATAACTTAACCTTTTTATCTTTTTATTTTTAGTTTTAAATATTTATAAAATATTAAAACAAATTAAATTTTTATTTTGTATTTTATGAGTTGTGTCAATTAAGAATTTTTTTGATTCTTTAATTGGATTGTCTATTCAATAAGTGCATTTCGAAAATCTACCTTAGCACATCAAGTGGCTAAAACTGTTGGTAAAACAATGGTTTATGGCGTGTCACTAAGGAGATCGTAGAGTGTATCTTAAATTTGAATAGATAAGTGTTTGATTGATTGCATAAGGTGCTGATAGTTTGTTGAAATCATTACCCTAGCACATCAAGTGGTTAAAACTGTTGGTAAAACAATAGTTTATGACGTGTCACTAGGGATTGATTCTCATATTCTGTCACGCTCTTTTCGGCAAGTAGTTTTAGACTCTGTAAGGTCCGTGCATCGACGAGTATATCTCCGATGGTGTAGCCAGCCTGTCTCTAACTCTGTCGACTCTCATATCAAACACACAATTCTATAAAATACTAATAGTTTATTGAAGTCATTACCCTAGCACATCAAGTGGTTAAAACTATTCGTAAAACAATAGTTTATGACGTGTCACTAGGGATTGGTTCTCATAAGCTATCTGATTATAATTTTTCTTATTTTAAAATATAAAGTAACACATATACTCAGACACCAAGTATAAAAAGGAACTACAGTGAAGTAATATTTCAAGTTTAATAATTTGCATAATTTTACAAAAATTAATAAGTAGATAAAAGTCAGTGCTCTCTTTTATTTATATTCTTTTTACAACAAACGATCAAACTAGCCGGACACAAGGTAAGAAATTATATTTCTAAGCATGTCATAAAATTAAGGGTAGACTTAAGATAAATCAAGAATAACTTTTATCGAGGGAATAATAGAATTGTTAAAGGTGGATAATTTGAAAAGTTATTAATAACTACTTTCTCACCATTCGGGTCATAATAGTGCGCGTTCAACGTAGATGTTTTAACTTGTATTATACAATTACATAAAGAAAATAATTCAGCCATTAAGGCTTGGCGCCCAACAATTGGACAGTAGCATCTTACATGAACACACGCTGTTTCCCATTCATATAGCATGACCAATAAATATTAAGAGTCGTAAAATCCTCCTCCGTAATCATTGCACATTTCATTGTAGAATTAATATGACTCAGGTGTGAATCATCCGAATATAATTTTCCTTCAATTTACTTTTTACGACAAACTACGCGCAATGGTAGGATCTTAATAACGAGTTCATGGATATATATATTGTATGCTATATTTTCACCTTGTAGCTAAACGTACTTCAACAATCCGTTAACCATAACATCTATATATAATATCTACATTCTATTATTATTCCTCTTTCTTAATTATAAAAAATATAAATATCACACATATGGCCGCTTATTTTATTTCCTTTATCATCCTTCATTATAATAATTTCTCTTCATTCTTTTTATTATTATAATTAATATCCTCGTTCTAATATCTTTTTTTTATGACAACATTACTCTCAAAAATTTGTAAAATCTTCCCTCATGTCGCATTAACTGGGAACCTCTCAAAATTAAAATAACTTTTTATAAATAAATCCCTTAAATATTTTTTTTTAGTTTGGTATAATTTTTTTGAAAACTTTACCATTTACCTGCTCAAAGGGGAGATTCAAAATGATAATTTTTTCATAAAATATAAACTTTTGAAGATTTTCCGAAACATTGAGCTTTTTAAATATATGACATATTAAAGTTTATGTTATGTACTATAAGTTAAAAAAATATTGTACCGACACTATCTATATGCAAATGAATGCTGTACTATATTTATGTTAAAATTTTTGATTTTGTATTTTATATTTTCAACTTTAAATTTTAAATACAATTTTTTAAATTAATACTTCATTTATATTCTCTTTAGCCGACATACATTTTTAAAAATCAGAACATTTCCCCTTATATATAGGAAATTCAAAATTTGAATCATACGTATAAAAAGTAGTGCTTTTTAAATGTATATTTTTAAAGTGTTCCAGAAATAATTAGGAGCTTTTAACATAACATATGATAATATAAGACTGTTACATATAAAAAGTAATTTTATTGTTGCCTAAGTAAAAAAAAAATTTTTATTTTGATGTAAATATCATTATTTTTTTATTTTAATTATTTACGCTTATATGTAGGCATCTATTAGGTATATAAAAAGAGGAGAAAAGTACTCTAAAAATAAAAATTAAGATAGAAGTTTTGTGTATAAATATTTTTTAATTTTTATGTCAAACCAATAAGTATATTAAAATGAAGGGATTGCCATTTCCAAAAAAATGTTTGCTACCAAGGTTTATATAAATATTATAATTTTAATTTAAAGACTAAAATAAATATGAACTAACAAAGACCAGAATAATCGAATTAAGAATGATAACTTTCTTCTTTTTTTTTTTTTTTTTATAAATCCATACTTACATTTTAGATACACATTCGCTATAATGGTAACCATTTTAACAACCATTTTAAGCTTTTTTATAAAAAT